CACATTTTTGCATAGAAAAAATACATCATGGTTTTCCTGATGACCTAATACTAGCCTTGCTTTAGTTTCTCTTAAGAAAGAAAAACGACATATACTGAACAGCACTTTTTACAGATTTGACTTGTTTCTTGATAAAAAAAAAAAAACATTCAGGGGAAAATATACTTAATATAAATGAAGGGAATAAGCAACTAAGTGAGACCTGACAATTGGCCTTTGGTTTTAAATGTCTAATTTTTCCTTATAAGCTCTGTTAATAAAAACAGCAGAAACAAAAGAAGAAAAAGAAACAAACCAGCAAGAATTATTTCCATAGACAGCATTGCAGATTCTGGTACTTTTTTTTAATCCATTCAGAACTAAGGATTTAATGGCGACTGGTTGGATCTTAGAGGATAAGTTTAATGTGTCCAGAATTGCACAGCTCAACAAACGTCAACACACTCGATTTCCGACTCACATTTATTGGGGCTACAGAGACTAAAACTGCTTTCCCTCCCCAAAACTGGAAAAATATAACACGATAGCAATTTCTTAAATACATAACAAAACTTCTTGGATCATGAATCAACATGGGATGTAACTGCCTAGAGATATAAATTATGACAGTTTTACAAAATGTCATTCCTCTAAGGCATTTCTGAAATTGTCCTGAAAGCTACACATATACACATGATTCTACATATACATAAAGGCATCCATGAAAGAACAGAGAGAGAAGTCTTTTAGAAGCACTGTGCGAAAGAAGGGTAAAATAATACATACTTCGATTCTGAATCATTTTTAAGAGAAAATTTGGGGTTCCAAGAAACAGTGGTTTACATTCAAATCAACATGGAGATTTTCAAACATAGATAGGTAAGATTTTTGTGATGCGGGCTACAAGAACATTCACACTGGGAGTTACTTTCTTTTTCAAAGGCCTCTTTCAAAGTACAGATTTCAAGTCCAAAGCAAATACCCATGGCATGAACAAACAGGAGGTCCAAGTTTCTTTTTTTTTTTTTTTTTTAGAGAGAGATTTTTGCTATAGGGTGTGTGCACTCTCACTAGAGAGAGACAGAAAGCAAGAAATCATCCCCTGGGGGGACGGCCATGCTACAATCCCTTCCCTTCTCCAGTCTCCTCTCATGATCTCGGGCACACATGCACATGTGCCCGGTGTGAGTTTTAAGCCACCGGGTCTGGGACTCGAATGGCAGTCAACTACATGGGAGTCCAGCGACATAGCCATTACACCATCTGCTGGTCCCAGGATACCCAAGTTTCTAACATTTGCTTCCATATGGCTTTCTTCCTCACTTCCCTACCTAATAGCAAGAGAGATCCTTAGAATGGCTAGCACACCTAGTCAGTACATCCAATAGTACTGGGTCATTGGAAAAGTCATGACACATTTTTACATAGCAAACCAGAAAAACATGTCGTGACTTTTCTGACAACCCAGCATTTCTGGATGGTGGGTTATGATACCACACGACAATTCGGTAAAGAAATTTCTATTTTTTATTTCAAACGAACTACTACTTCAAACATAAAGATTTCTGCCACAACATCCAAACATTCTTCTGTAGATTCATTTTTCTTCTTAAACAGAAAAAGAATCACTAGGAAAGGAGAAAGCTGACAGACAGAGACTAGCTTCAACGCTCTCACTGGCCAATTATCTAACAGGAAAGCACCAGCCTCAGTTATCCAAGTGGTCAGCTCCATCCCTTGTAAACGAGGTCTCTAGACTGGCTTGCATTTTACCCTTTGATGCACCAAAAATGTGTTTGGGTTTAACTGACAACCTGTTTCTGTTGATCTTGAAAATCTCATGCATGAGAACTGTTTTAGAAAGAAGTCACCATTTTTCAGGCACTTTTCAACATTTACAAAATTAAATCCAGTATTTAAAGTTGGTTTGAGAAACGATCCCCACTCCCTAGCCTTGGCAAAGAAAATGTAAAAAGTCAGTCTGTTGTACGATTTGAGTATCCCTTCTCCAAAATGCATGGGACTAAAAGAGGTTTGGATTTTGAAATTTTTTCAAATTTTGGAATATTTTTATGTACATAAAGATATCTTAGGAATGGCAACCATATCTAAATGCAAAATCCATTCATGTTTCATACGCCGGCCAAAGGCAATTTTTAGATTTTTTTTAAGATTTTTTTTTTTTTGCCATAGGGCACATGTGCTTTCCAAGGAAGACAGAGAGAGAAACAAAGAGGGAAAGTGAGAAATCACCCCCAGCGGGGGAGGATGGTCATAATTCCTTCTCCTCACCTCCCCTTGGGATTCTGGGCATACACACACACACACATGCCCGATGTGATTTTCAGGTTGGCGACGTGGGAGTCCAATCCCTTAACCACCATGCCACCTGCTGGTCCCACCTGAAGGCAATTTTAAACAATATTTTTGTGCTGCAGTGTTTTACTTGGAACTTTATTTCTATCTTTCATGAGGGAGAGAAAGAGGTACCCTTGACAAGACCTTGCCGTGCGGCACTCCGCCTTCCACTCTCTCAGCCAGCCAGGAACATGGGCCATGTGGGCACGCTCGGCATGCTCAAATCAACCCGGGACCGAAACGCGGGCTTCCCACGTGGCTCCAGGATCCCACAGTGGCACCCTAACACCCACGTACCACAGCTGGGCCTGCAGCGTTCTGACTGCAACCTGTCTCGTAAGCTCGGGTGTGGAATTTTCCACTTAGGGCATACCATTAGCACTCACAAAGTTTTGGATTATGGAGCATTTCAGACAGCAGATTTTTGGATTAGGGATGCTCAGCCTCTAGCAACATCTCTGGGAGAAGATAGATTCTTTTGGTCTTGCCAAGGAGATAATGGATTTTTTTTTTCTGCCTTTACTTCAAAATCAGGAGCTTTTCTGTGATAACAGCATTTTAGGTTGCTTGAAATCAGCACATTGGAAGATGCTTTGTGGAACCAAATCCAGAGAGTTTACGAAGGAAGAAATCATTGCTATTCCTGACAGTCTGTTTACAAAAATTGTTTCAGGTGAGTTCCTGTGATCCCCTGAGCAGTTACAAATGCCCTTTACTTAGAACAAGGCAGTAGTCTATGTGTAAGACAAAGCAAAAGAATTATTCAAACACACGCACATTTATAGTTATTCTAATACAAACACACTGAGAGAAGAGAGTATTTTCTTCCCCGAAATGTTTAGAGTTTCAAAGGAAAACAAAGACATGTAAAACTGAGAAATTTCTAACAAGTGACTAAAAATGATTTGGGTTGGTTACCGTTCAAGACTTTTCCCAGAGTTCTTATCTGTTTTCTCTATAAACTGTAAATAAAAATGTACATGACTGTAGATGTACTCACATACATGAGACACCAAAACAGACGTGTGAACTAAAGTTCCTTAAATAGTCACATCCCCGCTTAGGGCATAAATCTATTACAGAGGCAAAACGTTATCCTTTTATAATAGATTCGGGATAGCAGCAATTTAATAATGCATTCACTCGGTTACCATAAAAATACAGGTCCAAATAGTTCCTGAACTGGTATTCCTGACTTTGGGGAGAGTGTTCCCTTAGCATTTAATAGAATTCTCATGAAGCGCTAGGCTACACTGTGAATGGCAATTGTACAATCTCGCCATTGGGGAAAAAATGTCATCTTTTCAAAATCGGTTTACTCACATCGGACTAATGGTATGGGGAAAAATACGTAGCAATGAGGTGTTGCGAACCCAAACTACCTAACACATGTAAAGGATTTCTAGCTCATTTCAGTGCTGGGTACACGCAAAAAATTCAGGTTGCCTTACCAGATCCCTTTTGAAAGAGTAATACCAAATTACACTGAGAGAACTACTCTGAATTGTTTGAAAATATGTAAAGAATTCGATTATCGATTAGTATCTTTTCAAACAGAGATGGTGTATCGTATTATTTGAAAAGTGTTATGTTTATGGATCTATATTCCTGAACTTGCAATCAGAACTCACATATATAATACGCAAAAAAACCTTTAGGCTGATTTGTAATGAACCATTTTAGCCACAGAAGGGCAAAATGGCTCCAAGGTAAATATTTATTTGGTGAGGACCCATGCATAACCAGGGGACAGAAACTGTAGGTCGGCGGAAAGTCAGATGGATTCGAGAGGTGCATATGGATGTGAGTATTTATTCTTGCTGTGTGCTTGCAGGTTCACCTCCAAATCTGTCAGATTTCTGTAACAGTGCCCGCGAAAGGCCCACGTTATCTGTGATGAAGTTCTGAACCTTGATCCATCTAGCCATATTTCATATCAAACGAGTCTATAGACCATAGCTATGGCTGTCAGAGATGAGTCGGTCACCTTAGAAAAGCTACATGTGCCAGGGAAGAGAAACTAAATGAGACCACGTTGTTCCTCCTGCTGCAACCCTTTTACCGGCAAGAAACAACTCCCTCTGCACAGCTGTTTCTCCTGCTTGAAGCTGAAATCACACGAGGAGAAACCTATGGTTTGTGCCATGTCACTGTGGGAACTTCGGGAACAGCACACCCAGGAACTGGCAGAGGAGGAATCACCATATCGACTCCCAAGATGAGCAGCCAACTTCACAGCGCTTCCGAGAACTTCTCTTTATGCGGTCTGATCCTTCTCCGCACACGGGTTCCCCACTGCGTGTCTCGTGGTCACATCGATGCAGAGTAGACGCTACCTCTCAGTTACCGTGCAGGCAGCCATGACAACACATTTATTATCTCGAACGTTCACCAGGGCTCCTTGAATTAGGCTGACAGTGGGACGGACCAGTGGGATCCCTCTGGATGATAAGATGGCGATGTGTTAGTTCCTCCCAAGCAACCCCAGGGCTCCTGAGGTGCTGGACGAGGCGTGACCTGCGGAGCCCAGTTCTGTCACACGGGAACACTTGGCCTTCCCTGATGCAGAAGGCTGGCAGGCAAGGTCACAGTCTGCACACAGAGGCACTTCCAAAATTTGGCAAGGAGGAGGAAGCAAGGTCACTCAGGGGCTGGCCGCCGTGGGCGGGCACACAAACACAGGTCTCTAGGTTGTGGACGGCTCGTGCTTTTTCTTCTTGCCCCTACAGGACTTGCACACGCAGCAGATTATACACGGGGAGGCCAGGAGCAGCAGGGGCGATGTCACCAAGGCGATGATGCCCAGTCCAACGAGGATGCCCACCACCTGGAGACGGAGGGGGAAAGCAGACTTCAGAGGCAACGCTCTCCAGGCCGGGCCGACCTGCTGGGTACTAAAGGCTCCTGTCACCCCAACATCCACAGTGACGCCCGCGTCCCTGCCGTGACCGTGTCTGGAGACGGGGCCTTGGGAGGGGCTAGGTTATGAGGGCGTGGTCCTCACAATGGGAGCAGGGCCCGTTCAAGAAGAAACGAGGAGAACTTGGCCCGTCTATCTCAGCTCTCTGCTGTGTGAGGACACAGTAAAAACTAAAGGGCCGTCTGCAAACCCGGAAAAAAGCCCCGACCAGAAGCCTACCAGGCTTGTCCCCGGACCTCAGACTTGCGGCCTCCAGACCTGCGAGTGCCTCTCTACTGTTCGGTCGCCTGGTCTACGACCACGTTTCCCAGCAGCCTGAATGACTCAGGCACCATCTGTGACATGCTGATGGGACCTCTGCCAGTACTCGGCAATGCTCCTAGCTGGGTACAGGCCAGGGAGGTGGGAAGGACTACCTGAGGGGTGAGAACAAGCTGAATGCAGCTCAGCTCCGCTGGAAGCTCTGCATAACCGTGGATTGCTCACGTTGGCTCTCTCCATGTTGGTTTCCTCAATAGTCCCACAGGGATGCTAATAAAGATTACTAGGAGAGCCGCAGTGACTCCCTCAAAACGAACATCAAACACTATGACAAATAAACCACAACTCCCTCTGAACCTGCCAAGCATACACACGAAGGCATGAACGGGGATCTAAGCGCCAGCAGCAGCTACAGGGTCTTAGCTGCCTCTGACAGCTAGTTCCTTCCGTCATCAGGACAGTCCTTCCAGGAGAGGCAGTCCACCGATGCCCGAGAGCAAAGCACTTTGCCTCCACTGTGCAGGTCACCGTGCCACGGCCCTCCACCTCCTCCAGGAGACGGCTCGTGGACTAACTGGGCACAGCTGCCCGTTACATTCCCCTAGCCCTGCTCCAGGACTCCCTGGAAACTTCCAGGCTAGGAGAGGCCAGCAGAGAGCAGGGTGGGAGGACGAAGCGGGGCTCTCTAGGCCCTCACAAGTCTGGCTTCATGCTCTCCCTCTCTTTTTTTGTAATTCCCCTGGTGAGTGAGAGAGAATGAAAGGGAGGCGGTACCTCCCAGGGGTATGGCCATGCCACAGTCCCTTCTCTGCCATTCTCCTGTTGAGACTTTGGGCACATACATATACCCCACCTGGCCTGGGACTCAAATTGCGCAGCCAGTCATGTGGGATCCGGCCACCTTAACTATCACGCCACTGACTGACCCTGCTAGCTCCTTTTTAAAGTGGACTCATCCATTTCTCCCAAGAGTTAGAGAGGAAGAGAGAGAAAGTTACTCCCAGCAGGGCCCTGATGCCACTGTCCACCCCTAGCCTTGAGCCAGCCCCAGATCATGGGCACATTTGTACAGGGAGGTTTCCAGACTTGAACCAGTAACCTTCCCATGTGAAACTGTCTTGCAGCATTGCATGTTCCCACCGTGCCACCATTAGGCATCTCTTACGCCCCCACTAAGGTCGGGGTACCTGTGTTCGGTTCCACATCACGGATGCTCTTGAGTGGCCGAGTTTATTCCTGCAGGGCCCTTTGTCATAGTGTCTGAGGAAAATGTCATTCTGAAAAAACAGAGGGAGAGATGTGAGTCAACGTGGGGTGTTGAGAGAGAGAAATCTCATCAGCTCACGTAGTGGAAGAAAATCTCTGCCTGGTGACAGTAATGGTCTCCTCTAGACATTTCAGGCCTGTGAGTTTTGGAACTTCTTGGTAGTTGTGTAAATCACTAAGTGAAAACAGATCATAATCGAGACTCTGGGTTGACCCTCAACGAGGGTAGACGCCC